GGTCCATAAGCCATCAAGTTACCATAGTAGGGGTCATATGGATACGCTGGCCTTTGCTGCATCACAACATAGATATCAAAGATCACCAGCATGCACTCAGTAAGAAGTCGTCGAAAAGCATGAAACAATTTCTCTGCTTCAAAAGCAATGCTCGCACGGCATGAGCCCAGCTTCAAAACTCTACACATCCAAGGAACCAGCCAATGAGAGCAAAAGAACTTCGAGATGCAAAATCTGACAGGAGACCAATCATTAATAAGCCGAATTGAAAGCAAAATAACAAAGCCAAGAGCACACCAGGTCAAGAGCACACCAGATCAAGAACACACCGAACACTGAAGTGTCTTGGCAATGAAAGCCCTCCTTGAGCTTTCGACAATCAATACAACAACGATGTAGTAGCCCTACTATGATGTTCGGCCTATACTTCTTTCCTACTCAACCTACAAACACTTGCCTACTCCCTCTCACTGTCTCCTTCCACTCTCCTCTCACTGGATGTTGCTAAAGAGTCTGATCACATGAGGTGATCCTTGGCCAACGTACTGCAGACCTCCTTCCTTGATCTTCTCCTCTCACCACCCTCTCTTAGCTCTGCGCTGCACCAAAAATGGCAGGCACAGACGCCAATGCTATGCTATGCTCCATCTGCCCTCTCTTTTTGAGGCTGGGATCTGATCCTCCGTTAGGCAGTACCTACTGGCCTGGGTCTGACTTTGGATCCCAGCCAACGTAACAAACCCACCAGCATCTTGACAAAGCCTACCAGGTAGTTACCTGGGCTGGGCTCCAAGCCCGGGCCCAGTACTCCGCATGACCTTCACTTAGGCTGGCCTGCATTTCCACAGGGGGGGTTCCTGAGCACCTCCAAGGCCTGGAGCCTCACATTCCCACCCCATTAGTTCCGAAAGTCCTTTGAGAACCCTTCGGTTTGCCACTGCTTCTGCTTCATTGTGAAACCACTTGGTGCGGAAACTTGACAGCCTCTCATATTCTCAAACAACTTGGGTCACAAACTTAAATCGTTTCTTCTCTGGTAAACCACCTGTCTTTACTTGGATTGACATGGTGTCTGCTATAGACTCGAAACTGCAACTGAGGCTTTGGTGGTCTTCCTCTGCTGGTGAGGTGGCCGCAGGTAATCGCCTATGTTCCACAATCCAGTTAACCTCAACTTGACCGCCATCGTTGGAGGCAGCATGGACCGACAAGACAGGAAGTGATTGCTCTTTGAAAAAGGCAGTAGTTTGGGTGCATGAAAAACTGCGTAAGAGTGTAGGTGAGGAGGGACATCAAACATATAGGTTCCATATCCTACAACGTCTAGGACAGTTCAGAGTCCATGGGATCGAGGCATCAGTTTCCGTGATACGTCCTCTTCCAGAGCGAACTCAGACGACTTCACCCATGATAAATCACCTACCTGGAAAGTAGACATCCATCTATGCTGATTTCATGATTATATCATAGCCCTCTGACATTCCTATACCTGTTCTACTGTTTTCTTGGAACATATGTTCATACTCAAGTGTGTATTCTATACTTCTAGGTGTTGACTATGGCTTGGGATCTGGAAACAGAAAACCCAACGGATTTCTGCGCTTGCACCCTAAGTGCAACTCGTTAGGCGATCAATGCAGTTGCTGAGTGTATAGCGTTGCTATACAGCCCAGCTATTTGAGGCAGCCGGACATCCCAATTACGCTGCCTGAGTAGCTGCTGCACCTGTTTGTTCATCTGTGCAGCTTGGCAGCTGGCTTCAGGCTGATTCCCTGAAGTCATCTTCAGTTCTGATTCTAGCTTTTCAGCTAGCTTTGCAACTTGTGAACCACGCACCCCTATCACTTATTCTAGTTATGGGTAATCAAAAATCTTTAATCCAGTGATTAGCGAACTCAGTTATGACTAGCCCTGTTTTTGCTGCAGCTGGCAGAGGTATGAAACGTGCAAACTTGGAAATTCCGTCAATATCATAAAAATATCCTTGTTTTCTCTCCCGCTGGCCACTGAAGTCCCCCTGAAGTCCATGGTCAAAGCCCGACCAGGACCTGCTGGAATATAGAGGGGCTTTAGTAAGCCTAAGGGTGATTGTGTGTGTGGTTTGTCTCTTTGACAAACGTGTCAACTCTCAACCCTCTTCATACCATGCCAAAATGAACCCAAAGTGTCCTGTATCATCATGGCACTACCCTAGGAACAGACTCCTGAGAAATTTGTCAGTTGATACTGAACATCCCTCAACCATCCTAACTCCGCACACACTTTTCTATCCTGCATGGCAAGGCACCTGATGATTTCACTGAGAATGCTCTCCTTTGTAGGATTCTCTACACACCAACAAAGTATGCTCTCCTCGATAACGCATCAGCTACCACATTGTATTTACCTTCCCCATGCTTCAGAGTGAAGTCATACATACCTATCACTTGTATCCGATGCTTGAGAGCATCAGAAAGTGCAGGATGTGTCTTCATCATTCGAAGTGCCACATTGTCAGGCCGGACTTCCAAATGCCTGCCATGAAGGTAGTGCTTCCAGAGTTTCAACACCACAGCGACTGCACATAAGTCTTTGGGATAAGTGGAATTTGCCCGGCTTTCAGATGGCATCTTCTACGACATGTATTCAATTGGTCTCATCTGAGTTCCCCTGTTTGCTGTAACACTGCACCTATGCCAAATTGACCGCCATCAGTGGTAAGTTGGTAACGATAAATGGTTTATCAGGCTCCACAATCTTTAGAACAAGGCAATTAGTAGGGCGTACTTCAATTTCTTGAAGGTGCACTCACACTCCTTTCCCAAGGGGTATCCAGTCGACTTAGAGCAATCAAGGGGCTGGCTATAATACTGTAGTTCTCTATGCCCAGCCATTTTCAAGAGAGATCTGACCTCAATCACAAGACTGGGCGGTCCTTACTGGCATGCCACTTTCATATCCTCGGGCCTCAACCCTTCCTCAGAGAATTCATGACCCAAGTACAAGACTCTGGTTCGTCCAAACTCTCATATTCTTATCTCGATCTTGTATTGGCGCTTTCGGAGGGGATCTTTGACTATCTTCAGATGTTTCACATGATCCTCCAAGGTCTTACTAAGATAAGAATGTGATCGAGATAGATAATAATGAAGTTATTTAAGTGCAAATGAAACACTCGGTTAATGTCGTGCTGGAACATACCGCACGCATTACAAAGCCCAAAGGTTACCACCATACAGTCTAATCTGTATCAAGTGGTGCCAGGACTTCAGATCTGTGTTCCTGAAGCACTTACATCCATGCAGCCTATCCAAGCGGTCATCAATGTGGGTAGGCACTCAGCATTACGAGGCATTGGGGCCCTATAGTCACCCAGTCGGGTCACATCCTTAGTATCGCTCCATTCTTGGGTACTAATGAAATAGGAGACCTGTAAGGTGAGGTACATGGCCTGATCCACCCCTTGTCTGCCTATTCCTTGATTGTTTGCGAAGCTCATCTAGCTCCACAAAAATCCTACAGATCCTTCTTTTCAGCATTTTCCTCCTTGGGACAGCGTCCATAGGATGGAGTGTCTCCCTATCCACAAAGTCCACTCACTATGTTCTTGCAGCAAGTCTAAATACTTGGCAACAACAACTCCTTAGGGGTTTCTAAGGCCTGCCATTTTGGAGATACGAAAACTAAGAGTGTGCCCTCCTTTTTGTTGTACCTCTAGTAATTGTAGACAGAACTAACGCACAAGCACCCGTAGGAATATTCCATCTTGTGAGGTGAATACCTCTTTAGACAGATAGTCTTCCCATCTGAATCTTAATACAACATAGTTTGTATCGTCCACTCAAACTCGGGCTTTGCCACTCCTAAGTAGTGCACTACTACCTTCTTCCCCGGAATACAACATACCATCATTATAGTTGTATTTAGACTGAAAGATACCCAAATACAGCTATAGTGACCGTATGTTGTATTCGGGGGAAGAAGGTATTTCAGGGGAAGAGGGGAAGAACATGTCAAGCAGCAGCTTGTTGCTAACAAGAAAAGACTTGTGCCTATCCTTTCCTTCCCCATGTGAGAAGGTATTAAGTACTTCCTTTACGAGGTATTTTATAGAGATTTTATGCTTGTTGGCTGACATAGATACTACACGTCTACTTAGTGGCTGCATACAGTCTACAAGGCGCAACCTCTCTGCACAAGCACGGCTGGTATAACTGTGAGTTGTTTTTTTTTTTTTTACACCGCGAGTTGATCCTATTTCTGCTATGGTCGCTACTTTACCACCATCTACGTCAACTTCTACCACAATCAATTCTTACATAAGGACCTACTGCCATAGTTAACCAAGAGGACACTAGTTCTCGCAATTCTACCTCTTCTAAGAACTTAGGCATGTCACGAGAACGGCTCGGCTCCTGAACGGACTGGACTTCAAGGTCAGTAGCCACTGCTATTGTTGTCCAAGGTAGAGAGGGGGACCTTCTTACCACAGCCGGAACTCTCTCGTCTGCATCTACAGATGATGTAGAATGGGCTACTCTTAACTGGCTTGTTTGGTGTCCCTTATGGCCCCGGCTTTTGATGTGTCCCAATTCACAGTGTATCATGTAGGCACCAATACAATGCCTATCCTGGCAACCCTTCTTCTCTGGCCCTTCCTTTATCCAACCTGGAACCTGCTTCTTAGAGGACAAAGGTGAGGAAGTGCTCCTCCCTTGACAATGCGTGGATTCCATCGAGGCACCAACTTCCTTAGCCTTCCAGACAGCCGCTGCTGCTCCTTCTTGAGCTTCCTCTCCGTTGCCTCTTGCTCTGCAATTTCCATGACTCCCTGACAAAATACTGACTCCTCCATCCCATCCTCATAGATCTTCAAGAGATGGCCCTTCTTTTTAAAGGCATGGACCAGTTTCGTCTTCCCTCCTACTCTGACTACATCACCCCCGGTCCTCATTGTAGCCTCTAAGGCCTTCGGAGGTAAGGACGCGAAGTTATTATACTACGTGCTGGCTTCAGGAGCCAGTAGGCCTTGAATGTTATCACGAGGGTCCTAAGATAGCTTGTTAACCATATGTCCAAGTCGTATTGGACTCCTTGCACTTCGATCAATTCCTCCACTCTCTATGTGTAGCATGCTGGGGCCTACTACACAGGCCCCTAGGAGGCCCAACTATTGCACTTCCACCCCAGGCCACACATCCCTGTATTATCGACGACCTGGAGGGCCCGACCATTTTTCTAGTCCTGGCTTTAGTTTTGTCTCATTCGCTTTTTCTTTCTCTCAGCATTTATGTATTTATTATCTACTTTTCTAGATGCTGAGCTCGTTTGGGACTGATCTTGTCTCGGCTGCCGTTGTCCGCTCCAGATGGTGCCGTTTCCAACTCTTCTTTTGTCCACACAGGCATGGTGTCTGTTCGGACCAGTGGATTCCAGTGTTGATCATTGTAGGCCAGGTTCAGTTTTGTCCGCATTTGAACTAGACCAGGCACTTGTCTGTAGTGCCTGGCCCAGTCCTCGTCCATTCTGGACCAGCCCTGCTGCATCAGCAGAGCCACCTGGACGTCCGCTAGGGACCCAGGGAGGACGAGTCAGGCCAGAAATGCAGGACCAGGACTTGTGCCTGCAATCAGGACCATCGATTGGATTCTAGATCGATAGGTCCTGATTGCAGACCAAGGACAGCCCAGCAGGCCCAGCGGTATATAGCAGGGCCAGTCCAGTTTGAGAACAGAGTGCTAGAGCACCAGTTGGGCGGCATGCTGCTGGAGTACAGCGCCAGTTCGGGAGACCTGTGTTAGAGTAGCAGAGGTAGAGTAGGAGAGGAGTCTGGAGAGGAGAGGCTGGAGGTGGCCATAGCCACGAGGGAGAGAAAGACTTACCTGGGCACCATGCCGGGGCTTCATTCCGGTCTGGGACGGGGCTTGCTCAGCGACCTGAGTCATCATCCTTCACTGGTCGGTATTTGTGGGCCTCATCGTCAGCATCAGGAGAGAGAGAGAGAGAGAGAGAGAGAGAGAGAGAGAGAGAGAAGACTTGTTCTTCTCCAGCTTCCTGATTCCTCTTCTGACACAGCATAGCCACTACTTCGTCCTCCTTAGTCTAGAGAGAGAGAGAGAGAGTTTGGAGAGTGACTATTTTGGCCCGTTAGCAGTCAGGATTCAGACTCGACATTTTGGGGAGACGATTGTTGGACATTGCTGGAACAGACCTTTGTCAGCTATCTCGAGCTATTCTTCTTGTCTTCTCCCTTCTTTCTCTTTCATCTCTCTAGCCTCCATCATCTGTGGTTCTTCTCCCCATTTGTGTGTGGGCAAAGATACCTTTCGTCCATGTATGTACGCCCTCCTTGCCCTTCTACATGTGTGTGATGATGCTGACAGGTTGAACCATTGTTGTCTTGGTTGTCTTGCTAGGAGGTGCGGATGGCCCTGGAGCTGCCGACACCTGAGATGAAGTAGCCTATCCTGAGCCTGGGGTCGGACCAAGGGCAAAGTACTGATCTGAGCTCTGATGCCAAACCTCGAGGTGAACAACCGCTGGGAGATAGCAGCTTCCCCACCTAATGGGCTTACAGCATGATAGACGTAGACCGTGCTGGATGAAATCGGTGTTCACTCTGTGATGGGCCCAAGCAGCTTCCCCACCTAATGGGCTTAGAGCATGATAGATGTAGACCGTGCTGGATGAAATCGGTGTGCACTCTGTGATGGGCCCATAAACCTGGCTAAGTATCCATGGTGTCTAGGATGCAGTCTAATTTGGTTTCCAAGGTATGTGATGTCTCAATGAGAGCCAGCCTATTCTTGGTCTACACCTTACTTGCCTCCCTTTAGTAAGGCTTTGCATACTATAGCTCTTCCTCGCTCTTTTCTAATTACCTAAGGTCATTCCGAATTGCACCCATTAATGCCACTTCTTTGTCTACCACATGAGGCCGTTGCGCTCTTTGTCTACCACATGAGGCCGTTGCGCTTGGCTCATCTGAGCCTTACTTGGCCTGAGAGACAGGGACTGCAGAGGTACTCACCTGAGGCATTGCTATTTTCTGCTCACTGGCCTATCTGCGAAGTTCCCTCCAGTTGTTGGGACACTACAGGCTGCTTCTGGTTCTCTTTACAGTGCTGCTAAGGCTCGGTGTGATCTGCACATGCATCCATGAACCACTCCCACATCATGTGCTTCCATTATCCCGGGGCACTTCCTATTCACTGTCGTCCTCCCACCAGATGCACCAGAAGAAGGTTGACTCTCACAGTAGTGCCCATTCGCACCTGAATAAAACACTCTTCCTCACGGTAACAAGAGTAACAAGAATAATGGAGGGTAGATAAGGTAAGGGATACTTATTTGATGCTGCCCCATTTGATGACCGGTCGATGCCCAGGACCCACCGACAATACAATGCCATTACTGCCTTAAACCACGTTGCCACATATTCCAGGAACCTCCACCCATGTGCTTTGTACCAAACACATGAGTTGACCAGCCAGCAACGTCGTCAACACCACTGCCTGTGTGCACTCGCTAACACCGGCACCACAAGACCTACCTCGCCAGTGGAATGGCAACTGTCAGAGAACCCGGTACCAAAATGCAAGGAGCCAGGCAATAAGAACATTACAATTTCGAGATGCAAAAGTGCAGAGGAGACCAAACCAATCATGAATGAGCCGAATTGAAAGCAGAATGACAGAGCCGAGAGCACACCAAATCAAGAACACTGTGAACACTGAAGTCCCTTGACAATGAAACCCCTCCTCGCAGCTCCAACAACCAATACAACAACAATGTACAATGTGTCCGCCTATACTAGTCTCTCTCTCTCTCTCTCTCTCTCTCTCTCTCTCTCTCTCTCTCTCTCTCTCTCTCTCTCTCTCTCCCCCTACCTCTCCCTTCCTCTCTCTCTCTCGCTCCCCCCTTCTACTCCTCTCTCCAGATGTTGCTGAAGAGTCTGATCACACTCCACCAACACCGCAGGTATATCCTCCTGTCCCCACTGCCAGCCTCCTACCCTGATTCCCTCCTCTCACCACCCTCTCCCGTCTCTGAGTTGCCCCAGCTATGGCAGGTGCAGATGGGCAGTCACTGCTATGCTGCCTCCTCCTTCCTGGGCACTTGCTGGCTGCTTGCAGTGCTCCAGTGCTGCCGCGCACGGTTCCTCTGCCCAGGCTCCTCTCTTTTGTCATTTCTCCTAGGTTGGGAGCTGAACCTCCAGTACGCAGTCCCTACCTGCCTGGGTCTGAGTCTGGGTCGCAGCCCATGTAACTACCTGCCCGGTATCTTGACAGGGCCTACAAGGTAAGCCACCTGGCATGTGCTCTATGTTCGGGCCCAGTACTTCTCACACAAGGGGTTCACTTAGGGCCGACCTTTCTGAGCACCGCCTAGAACTGGGGCTTCACAAGCATCATCATGTCCTTTTTTAAAGCGTGCATGTTGTGAAATGTCAAGAGTTGACATTGTGGAGAAGTCTTCTGCTTCGGGACTGACTGAAGTTTCAAACATTTTTTTTTTTTTCTTTTTTTTTTTTTTTTGAAATAAACAGGTCCTTATGGCCCTGGCTCCATATCCATTCTGGGGAGCATCAGTCCGGTTCCTATTCCACAGGCACGTCAAAAATTACAATGTGAAACACCCTCATGCTTCCTTCTGTCTAGCCGAAGGACCCCTGAACACCATTGATTACTCCAGCAGTGTGGAGGATTGACTGTCAGCTTGCCTTGTCTCTACCTTTCCTCTCATGTCCCACTGTCTGAACCTGTCAAATTTATCGTGAAAGCAACAAAGGGGATCGACGATGAGGAAAACACAGTCTGAAGTTGCATGAATGGCAACGGGATCAAACGACGCCGTGAGCCCTTCATTGTCAAGAGAATCATGTCTCTGTAAAATGAGTGAAACAGCTTGTCAAACACACAAGGGATGAGACAGTGGAGTACATTCAGATCATGAAGGTATATGGACTGTACCAGGGAGGATCCCAGCTCCAGGTGGATTGAAGGAATAAGGTATTCACTCTGAGCTGCAATGCCTGTTGCAGGTGCGACTTGCTGTTGCTGGTCTTCCAACCCTGAACATCAATCACATCCATCCAACAAAGATGAGCAGCCATGCACTTGCCATGTCTAATTATGTCACATGGACTAGTAGAATTTCAAAGGAAACACTTCTTCCACCTCAAGATGTTGAAACTCCGAAGATTGATTCGCTTCTGAGAGGAGGATTGCCATAGATTAGGTGTAGAGAGCATTGAGACAGGAACAGAATCTAGGTGCCCACAGGAGGTGACCATGTTGTGTGACGTCCACAGGAACAGTATCTAGGTGCTGCAATAATCGACAGAGAGTATGAACTCTGTTTCGATTTTTTGTCAAAAACTTTGGGTGCAAAGCATGCCTATGATAGAAGGCCAAAGATTTTGAGACAACACAAAAGAATGGCATACCAATGTTCGGAGTATGTGGCACAGGCCAGTTGACGCATCTGGACAATTTTGATAAGAGTGGAGAATGCAGCTCAATTCTGGAAATGGCTCGGAGTACAACCTGTGGCAATATTGCACCCTGCCAATCACACATATAGGTGAGGAACATCTGCACAAGTACCGTACTCGAAACATTTGCACAAAACTATCAAAGAAGGGGGTAGCGCCATGCAGGAGTTCCTGGAGAGAACATATGAGAGAAGCAGACCACTCACCAAATGCTGCCTATGTACAATACAATTGAATTCCTTTGCAAAGAGCAGTGTTCGACCTAAGGCTCATGCAAACAGAAACTGTGCCATCAGCCAGTGATCAGGGAGAATTCCCTTGAGGACCTGAACTTCAATGCCCATGAAATCGAACCCGCCTTTGAGGTGATCACTGAGCAGTTTGGCAGTCTGGCAAGGGGGACAGCTACATCAAAGCCACAAGGGTTCAAGCCATGCAATCGACGAACCCAAAAAACCTCCCGAGTTGTAGTTGCCCATCAAAAGTGGTCAAGCTAGATGTCAAGTTACAAAAGCAGATAGGTTTGCTCCAGGTGGCAAGGGGGACGGACAGCTTGCGGGATTGATCATTGCTCACACTTTTACACATGCATCCAAGGTCCGTCAGTTGATACGCAGTATGGTTCAAACCATACTTGCAAGCGGATGCCGTCCGGGCGGTTCCGCACGTGCGGCAGACCGCCGGACCGGACCCGTGTGGCGCACGAATGTGCACCCGACGACCAGTTACGCCCCACACCCAAAAAAAAAAAAAAAAACGCCCCCGTCTGGTCCGGTCCGGGTCCGTCTGGTCCGGGGGGAGGGTGCCGCA